AAGGGAGTGGCAGATAGACTAATGAAGAAAAATCTGCCCCTTCCATTGATAAACAGTCAAATAAAAGGACAACAGAAACAAAGTAAGAAGAAGCCTACATGACTGGAGCATCCAGCCATAAGGGCAATGGATTATACAAATCCCACACACTGAGATGAAGATACTCCTGGATGAAAAAGTGACGTGTGAGGTTGAAGCAACAGAGAAGAGATACTAAGTAAAAGAAAAGGGTATCTGGAAACTAACTGAAAGAAGTAGAGGAAACCAAGGAAGGTGCTGAAGAGGAAGACAGACATACAGAAAAAGATAAAACCTGTCCTGGCCAAGAGCATCAACAGCCAGAGCCAAAGAATAAGAAGCAGATTAAAAGAAGAAAGGAAGCTAGGAGTTGAGAGAGGTGGCAAAGGCATCTATGAAGGGTGTAGCCAACCAAGAGCACACCAAATGAAAAACCTGAGGGTGGAGAGACCACTTCATGGGGAGAACAAGGTCTGGCAAAGAGAGGCAATCTATTGCCAAGTTCAAAGCCCCTGGCACATGACAAGCTATGAGACAAACTTGATGGGAATGAGCCCAGAAGAGTAGGGCCAATACGTAAAATCAAAGACACCTGGAGCAAGTACCTCTTTGATGGTTATAAGAAATGAGCATAGAATTGTCAGAGTGGATCATGACTAATTGATCCACTAAAAGAGGAAGGAAATGAGAACATGTCTAACAAACGGTAAGGATTTCAAGCATGTTAATGTGAATTCTCCTCCTTTGCCCAAATGCCAAAAGTCATGTTGTCAATCAGATATGCCCCAACGCAAGAGGGAAGCAAGCATCTATGAAGAGATGGAGATCAGGTTGAGGTTGTTAAGGGAACATTAATCATGGTATTGGATGGTTTAGCCATAAAGACAGATCCTCAAAAAGAGAAGAAGTGATCTTCATAATTGAGGACAACGGATACCAAGAAAGAGTCTATTGGACTTGTAAAGTCCACTGGAAGAGGCACATGTGTGCAACCCTCAAGGGAATGAGAGGTTCAAGAAAGCCAGAGTACCATAAAGTGAAAGAACCTCCAGTGCAAGATGAAAATGAGAAGCACAAACCATGATGACTATACATTACAAAGCCTGCAAATGAAGGTCGATGAAGAAAAGTCAAAGGGGCAAGTTCGAAAAAGACAAGAAACTGGAGAAAATAAAGAGGACTGGTGTCAGGTTGCTTCAGCCTGGGTCTCAAGTGAATCAGGAACACCACCAAAGACTTCCAGGTGAAGAAAGGAAGCCCAACAAAGATCACATTGATAAGAAGTAGGGGGTGAAGATTATAGAGAAGAGAACCCTGACCCATTAACTCCCAACAGCAGATGAACCAAGTAAGGAGGTAAATTGCTGAAGAAGTGGTAAAGGCCAAGGTAGTAAAGAGAAGGGAATGAACTTTTACAGAAAATCCCTCTGTGGCATGATGACGTGTCGATAATGTATAGGGAGAAGAGAAAATGCAGAGAATGGTAGGAAAAAGATAGACAACTGAGCACTAGAGAGTGAAATAGAAGAGAAAGGGTTCACTCCCCAAGCAGGCAAAAAGATATTCCAAAGACTGGAAATTGAGAAAAGGAAAGAATGAATGGCTGTAAGCATGAACAAAGTCAAGAAGGATGAAGCATGTGGTGACATGTGCAGAGATGTTCGTGAAAGGAATCAACATAAACCCTAATATCAATGAGAAGGATGAATAACAAAGTTATCTCCAAGAATTGATTTCATGGAGTAACAAACTGTATGATAGTTGTTACATACTCAACAGTCAACAAGCCTCCAAAACTCATAGTAGAAATATGTCTTGTGTTTGTAACTTCGTCACCTTCACTGAATAAAGTTGAAGTCACCATCACCTTAGAATTCATTATAATATTCAAAGTTTTTGAAACAAAAGCTAAGGTATAATGAAAACTAAGTTCCTTTTCACTATTGCAAATCTCAGTAAACTGAAATGTAGACTAAAAAAATCAACACATCTGTAGTAGGCAATGGCAATGAAAAAAAGACAGACTAATGTTCTGTTGAAATATGAAAATTATCACATCAAGATGTCCAGAAAGCTGTAACAAAATATGTTAGCAGGCCCATTGAACTGCCCAAATCTCGAGAACACTGATGTGGAAAAACCACTCCATGGGTGACCAAACACAAGAAATGGTGAAGGTAACCAGAACTGCTCCCCATCTAGCTAGAAAGGCATCCATGTACAGGTGTAAGTCTGGGCAGGATGGTGAAAGATGGCTGCTCAAAGTTGTGTGGAAATTTTTGAGTGAGAGATAAAGAGATGGAGGTGGGGAAACAAGAGAAGAATGTGAAATATATGGCATATTCCACTAATCTGCCAGAATCAACTGAGATTAACACAAAATGATACATCCAGAGGAAGAAATGATATGACAGACATGAGAATCACCAAAAAAGACAGACTTGTATATGTAGGAAGAAAGGATGACATAAGAGCCTTGGAAACCAGGAGCTTCATATCACAGAAATGTAAGGAGAAGGTTGAACCCACCCAGCAAATGAGGTGATAAAGACTCTCAAATGAATCAGATACTGATTGGTAGTCAATACTTATTCCTAAATTGTTGCACTTGAAGATGTTTATCATATTAAACTAAGTGAAGTTTGAAAATATCTTTAAAAATATAAAAGTTAAAAATAGGAAGATTAGTCTCATGTGAGAATAACTAATTAACTGAATGTAATCCATCAATGATCCCACTAGTTGTCCAGCTCTAATGGTGAACAACTCCTAATAACTAGAACCTTTCTGAAAGTTTTAGAAATTATTCAAGTAGTATAAACATCAGCTATGCTAGAGAGGATATTGACTGATTACTGAATTAGTGAGTAGTATAAACACCAGTTATGCTAGAGAAGATAATGACTGATTACTGAATTAGTGAGTTTGGTTAGTCAATTTATCTCTTACTCTTGGCCAGTTATTCAGTTATTTTAGTTTTTTAAATGCTGAATGCGTTTGTGACAAAGTACCATATATATAGAAGAAAGCAACATGTGTGAGAAAAATTAACATGTACAGTAAGTGAAATTGTTGTATTAGCATCTGCTGTGTACTTAAACCTATCAGTAAACATTAGTTAAATCAATTTGCCAAACTTGTAGTTGAAAACATAAAATATTTTCATTATCATTAAGTGGGATAGACTTTGCATTCTTTATTGTACTGAATAATCGAAAAGAACCTACTTATCAATAAAAACTTTACAACACAACCTTGGTAAGAGATAAAATGGTTGGATTTTCTATCCACGTAAAGACAAATATGGAATGCTCACTTATAATCTCATGGTTTTCAGGTTTCAGATATCACACATACAGATGATCAATGGAAATATGAGAAACAGTGGATAAGATTTTTTTTCAATGTCTAAACTAATTTTGTAAGTAGTGTTATGACAGCAGAAGTCACGTGAACCTGGTAACACGTAATGAGTATCCAGAAGGATCGGGGAACATTACGAATAATCCAGTATTTGCTAGATGCCCTCTGTTCCTGTATATAAGCAGACAGATAAGAAAAGATAATAGAGATAGCAGACAGAGAGATTGAAGATATAGACGGACTTGTACTAATATTTCTTGTTATTTTAACCTAAAACATAGGCCTTGTAAAAAAACAGCTAAGAGGACCTTATCTTACACTATATTGTCATTAAACTGGTTAACTTAAGCCTAAAGTACATTAAACACACTACTAAATGAATTCCCTGCTTGTTAGAATATACTTCATACCTACTCACACTCACAGTTTTGAGAATGTGCATGTGGAATGATAAATTTAATTCTGTTAGATGTGAAAGTTTGATCAGAACTGGTGTGAAAGTTGTAAGTGAAATACATAAATTGTATATAAAACTGTGGCATCATACTTCATATTACAGTTTACAAAGGCATGACAAATATATTGCACAAAACCTTTACAAGTATCTTACATCCCTCAAAGTGGGTGTGCAATAATATCATTGAAAGGAATAAACATGCAAATAGCCCCTTGCTGTTCTCATATGTAATGTTAATGAAATTTGAATTGCAACTTTATAATAAGCCTACAAGGTAAAATTATATATCAGTAATATTCATAATGTCTGCACTAATAGTAATAATAGTACTACTAGTATTAATAATAATACCAAAAGGCCTGGCATGGCCAGGTGGATAAAACGCTCGACTCGCAATCTGAGGGTCACGGGTTCGAATCCCCATCACACCAAACATGCTCGCCCTTTCAGCCGTGGGGGGTGTTATAATATGAAGGTCAATCCCACTATTCGTTGGTAAAAGAGTAGCCCAAGAGTTGACGGAGGGTGGTGATGACTAGCTACCTTACCTCTAG